GTACTTCTCAAAGCTCGTGCTACCTTATTGCAATCCAAATTTTGTTCGCTAAAATCGTATTCCAGATGTTCGCACACATTTCTTTTAGCCTATTTGCGAGTGTCGGCCTTTTTAGAACTGTGGGGGTGTTCTGATATTTTCATTGATGGCATATTTGATGTTCCCTGTTGTATTACTCCTTTTCTCTGCAGTTGTTCTGTATTTGTCCTATTACTTTGGACAGTGGAAAAACCAACCAGTTATATGTACGGTCTCATACACTATCGGCTGGTTAATTTCTCTGTTATTCGTTGGCGTACTTCCAATTGACATATCTTCAGTGCGTCTTTTCTATTAAATTTATACATCTAGACTTTTGCTCATCAAAATGAGATCAATAATATTACTGAGCAGAAGTCCGAATCTATCCCAGTCTTCGTCGATATGCGGACACTTCATATATTTTGGAGCGTAGTTTATTGGGCCTCACAATTGTTGACATGGTAATGCACGCTTATAGGAAGTTCCTATCTGCAGGATAATTCTTCCAATAATGGAATCGTATGCAGACTCAGGGGAGTTCACCATTTTGCGGAAATTGCGCTCCGCTATCATAGATAATGCAATCATTTATGGGTCATATCTAATCCTATTCCTCGGTGTGATGATATATCTTCTTGTTAAAAGGACTGTTTCTCTTGATGCGTAAGTGTAACCCTTTGGTGGTTGTATTTGCTTTACCGACCCAGGTCATGACCCTTAGTTTGTATTTACCCAGACTGTATCTTAACATGCTTTTTGGAAGTTTCCGGCAGATTTTAGTTATAAATTTACTACCGTTATGTGCTACAAGTAGATCGCAATATGAGTCTTATATTGATAGACTTTGTCAAATGGTAGTGAGAATGGGTAAGCTGCTGATAAATCCTGGTGCAATTTTTCCTCTATTACCCCATCAGGAGTTACCTACCCCAACTCTTTTAGCGCGTCGCTGAAAGTCCTTTTGATCACAACCAGTAACACCTGGGGTCTCTTTTTGGTGATTTTCTTTTTGGGCTACGGTCTAGTTGAAGTCCCCAGAGCGTTATTGCGTGCTGCGTCCCCGATCAGTCGGCTTCGCTTTGGATATTTTTCACTGAGCAAAAGGTACCTTGAGTACATTGAAGACGAAGAGGAGCTAAAAATGGTTCTAGCAGTAAGTGTTCCTTTAACTAACCTTGCTATTTTGGGGTCTTTTGCAATTGTCTAATCGTGGTAATACATGCTATAGACTCTTGTATTTCATTGAATTTGTGCGTTTTGTCATAGGTTGAACGAGTTTTGGTACCATAGCCGTTTAATCAGCCTGTTTTCTTTTAGGAAATTGACGATCTAGACCATCAGGTAGGGCCTGAACATCCTCTTCGCTCTCGTCTGAATGTGATTGTTTCAAAAGTATGTCCCTCTTTTCGTAATTCCAAGTTGTGGTGAAATCGGCCGTCTAGTGCTCGATATCGCAGCGCCTGGTTTGGCCTAAACTTGTGCATTATCTGTAAACAAATTTGAAAACAGTATTTAAATGGGCTAGTTTACTAGACATTACTGTTCAGTAACTGAAGTGATATTCATATCAGTGTGATTATTGCTCAGCATTAATCAACGTACTGTACAATTCTACTTAAATTTAAAGCTATTACGAATCCAGAGGTCTATAATTACCACTGCCATCAAAGAATACAAAGATCGGTAGACTATTTGTATAGCTCTATGCTACCGACGTGGTAATTGATTCTAGAGAGATGATCGGCGTATTCATGCGTTCCATCACAGAAGTATCTCTTTATTCTAAGATCTACTTCCACAATATTCGAAGTTTCCTCTTCCCTTTAGGCCGCAGGTATCAGCGAGACTAGCACCAGCAGCGAGCGAGCAGCTCGGCGGGCCAACGGCAGTCGATCCGAGGGCGGCGCAGGACTCGGCTCGGCCGCGCTTACAGCACAACGTCTTGTGCGGCTGCACAAACGCTTAAAGCGCGTTTATCATTACTGCTGTCGGGCTCATGCCCTCTGGCACGAGGCTCTTCGTCAAGCTGCCTCTGCTGAGGATGTGTGTAACAATTGCGTTGCTGGCCGGTGAGTCTGCCTTTCTTTACCCGTTTCCTCTCTATCGTCTGTTAAGGTTTACACAACCGCTAATCTTCGGGAGGTAGTATTATTCTCATCACTCGTAGTGTCCACTGATAGTCCTAATTCCATTCTCTTTCTTGAAGGCTTTCTGAGCTGTTGGTGTTTTGATTGGTATTTAGCTCGCCTTAGTCAAGGTGGCGCTTAGACGATTGGATGTTTTGCATTTCGAAGCTCTCACAGAAGGTACATTTCTCGCTAATTTTAGCATACCATCCTATTCTAGCTCTTTCATTTCACTTCCCGTAGATGTTGGGCTTTCTATCGTTGGTGGTTTGTGAAGTGGGGTACTTGTTGCTGGTCATTTATGCCATTAGTATCGCGTTTGCTTATGTAACTACTACTCTATCCTTTTTGTCCCTTATACGAAGACTCGCTGAATTGTTCGTGCTTCTTGAGGTGCAGTAATCCATTTCTCTCATTCATTCGCTTATCAATGATAACTGAATCCCAGAAAGGTGCACAGGTTGATTTGGGGTCAGATAGAGGGCATCAAAAAGGATATTTTATACTTCCCTTACTTACAAATGGTCGACTTGTCTCTTCTCTCATCAAAGTCTACTCAACCAACGGCTCTAACGAAGTATAGCCGGCTTTGTTAGCTTGCATCCCCAATCTTACTTGTATCCTTTCCGTGATCCGTGGGGTGCATTTACTTAACCGGGTTACCCCGGATTTCAAAGCATTCCAAATAGAAATCTGTATTTTATCCTTTATAGTACGATAAGTTTGCCGTTGTTGCGGCCGCTGCGTAGGTGTGAACTCATAAGGGTATTAAAAGGTCCATACGATATTGCACAAAGCATCTTTCGACATTACCTGTATTGCGCACAACGATAAGGCGGTTCCTTTTGGACCAGCGATCCGCAAAGCTTGCTTTAAGCATATTTTCCGATTCCTATGCACTTGTGCGAATCATTTGCATGCGTATTTGTCATGGATATTGCAGTAATGCGGTATCGCAGTCACTTGAATTGATTTCTTAGTAATTTTGGATTTTATTGTGAGTTACTCGTTTTTTTTACATAAATTTCCATGTCAACTAATCAAAGCACAATTTTAGAGACTCAGCTACTTATATTGACCCCATGGGATTTTGCAGGTGCGGTATGGGGCAGTAGAACTTACCGCTCGAAAGTGGCTCAAATGAGCTTTTTGATCCTGGTGATGAGCCATTAAAATATGGTCAAATGAGGCTCAGGAAGGCCTTTTGTTCTTTATAATAATGAGGAATATTTTGTAGTACCAGTTAATGTGATTGATGAAAAACCTGTTTACTGGCTTTTGGTGAGAAATATTTTTTTACATTACAAAGTACGTTAGGCTGCCAAGCACATCATTTAGCATTCCTGAACGATCCACTGATCACCATTCCATGCTCCTAAGGCGCAAATCACTACACTCTGCGTGTGGACTGCAGATGGAATTACTCGGT